AGAGAAGAGAGAGAGAAGAAAGAGAGAGGAGTGTAGTGTAGTGGCAGCAGTACTATTATAGTATTATTATTATTTTTTAAAGAACTATTATTATTAAATAGATAAATTACATAAAAAAAACAAATTACTCAATAAATAAAATAAAAAATAAATAAATGAAGAAAAATAAAAAAAATAAGAATAAACAAATCCACTAACGAACGTCACCAACTTCATAGCAGCGTACAGAAAGTCCACAGCGTGTACGTCATAATGATGGTACGATGACGTCAGCGATGATGACGACCACGATGATGATGATGTTGGCGTAGTATAGGATGATGATGATGATGATAATGGTAGAGGCGTTGATGATGATGATGATGGCAGAGGTGATGTTGATGATGTCCTGGTTATAAACCAGAAAAGTTCGCCAATTGCTGTGATGGCTAACAGAATGGATAAAGTCTGCGAATGTCAGTGTGGTGTGTTTATGTGTGTGTGTGTGTGTGCGTGTATGTGTGCGCGAGAGAGAAGATGATAATGATGGCTAATAATAATAAGAATAATAATAGATTATCATTGTTATTGTTACTATTATTTCAACCCATTAGGATGGTGTATCTTTCGATTTTAAGTTTCACACCTTCAGCTGTGTATTATCAATAGTTATAAGACTAGTCTACACACACCTACATACATACTAACCGATTTAAGGATTGTTATTGTTATTATTCTTATGGTCGTCATCATCATCATTATCGTCATCATCACCACCATTGTCACCGTCATCATCATCACCATTATCATAATCATAATCATCACCATCATCGTCACCACCACCATCCTCATCATTATCATCATCATCATCACCACCATCGTCACCATCATCATCATCATAACCAACCACTTTAGCTAAATTTATCCTCGAGAAGGCACCCCATCTTGCATATGCAACTTTTTGCCCCAGGAAAGTTAGATATGCAAGTGAAACGAGCCAAAGGTACCCGCAAGGGACCCAAGTCAGAACGCTCCTTTGAAAGCAAATGCTGAAGTCAGGGTTAGGCGCGTTTACAGTTAGAGTAGAATTCTGAAATTAGAGGTTTTTTTTTTGTTTTGGCTGGTTGTATGTGTTTGTGTGTGTTGTTTATATTAGCCGTGTGTGTGTGTGTGTGTGCTATTGTGTATTTTAGTATATATTTGTTATTTGTGAGTGTGTGTGTGTATCAGCGTTATTCTCTTTCTATTAACATTCTATACTCATATTATTCTAATTGTTTCAAGTACATTTAAACAATGACGAACGGTTACTATTATTGCTATTTTAGTTATTATTATTATTAATGTTATTATTATTATTGTTATTATTATTATTGTTATTATTATTATTATTGTTGTTATTATTTTTGTTATTATTACTGTGTTATTACTGTCAGATGATTGCTATTGAATTGCTTCCACCATTCCTTCATCATCCATCATTACGTCATCTGCCCGCCATTATTTTTGTTGTCTCTAGTATTATTATTATTACCATTATTATTATTGTTATTGTTGTTATTCCTAACTAGCGGATAGATAGCCAAGTTGTCAGAACGCCTGACAGCCGCTTCACAATGCCCGGATTCAATTGCAAGAGAAATCTCAGACCTCTTATTACAAACACACGCATGAAACATAGTTCATTTCATTTGTTTTTGCGTCTATGGAACGTCGATCTAATTAAAGCGCTATACAAATGAATCATCATCATCATCACCATCGTTAATAATTAAGTTTATTATTTATAAATATTAATCATAATTAATATAATTATATTCCATTATAATTATTACTATCACCCACCCAAAAAGCATCGTACTGAGAGTGCCCACCGCATAATTTTTCCCACCATATCACGTGACTTTCCGACGACGATGACGTATTTATGAAGTCAGAGACCGCTGCTGCTGCTGCTGATGATGATGATGTTGTCATCGTCATCATGGTGTTGTTGTTGTTGATTTAACTGGAAAATTTCAGTAGAGTAAAATTTTTAGTTGTGTTTTTGGAGGTGGATGTTATCCCGAGATGATATTTTTAACTTTCAGCCGTGTGACAGTATGCTGCCATGCGTTATCATATTATAATTAAATTATAATATTATAAATTAAATTATAATATAATATTGCATATTATAATATTATATTATTTATTATATTATTTATTTATTATAACAATTCGAACTTAACAATATTTATCTTTTATCTCCCTTCCTTTATTTCTAAAATGAAAATTAACAACATCACCTATTTAAATTCTCTCTCTCTTTCTCTCTCTCTCACTATATATATATAATATTTCTATACTTATATTATATATATATATATTATATATATTATATTTATTATATTTCTTATTCACCAAATAAATGACTGGAAATTAAAAAAAAATATATATATATATATAGACATAAATATTAAAAGAACACAAACTAATGACAAGAGTAATTATATTTTAATCTCTGTCATTTTGTCTTTCTCTCTCTCTCTCTTCTCCCTTTCTCCCTCACCCCCCCCCTCTCTCCCTCTTTCTTTCAAAATTTTGACAGTAGAAACTAATTTAAATAGATACATTATTTTATTTATTTAATATTCAATTTAATTTATCTATTACTTTTGAAACACACACGAACAACATACAAACAAATAACCTTCACTCTTTTGGAGATAATCTGTTTAGTGCTGTCTTGGCGTGTAAAACATGTATATATAAACATGTATGTATGTATACACATGTATGTATGTATGTATGTACGCATGTATGTATGTTTGTATGTTTGTATGTATGTATGTATGTATGTATGTATGTATGTATGTATGTATGAATGTATGTATGTATGTATGTATGTATGTATGTATGTATGTATGTATGAATGTATGTATGTATGAATGTATGTATGTATGTATGTATGTATGTATGTATGTATGTATGTATGTATGTATGTATGAATGTATGTATGTATGTATGTATGTATGTATGTATGAATGTATGAATGTATGAATGTATGTATGTATGTATGTATGTTTGTATGTGTGTATGCATGCACATGTGTATGAGAATTGCACAATGTTATGAAATCGAATGCATGTTGAAGACTGCATGCCATATATTTATATGAAAAACAATGCATACATATCTTTGTATATGTTTATCTGTATGTGTTTGTTAGTAGTATATACAAATATATCCATACAAATACGTATATATATATATATATATATATGTGTGTGTTGTGTGATATATATATATATATATATATATATGTGTTGTGTGTGTGTGTGTGTATAATTCTGGCCTGATGGCTCAATAGTTAAAGGCGCCTGGTCTTGCTGCTGCAGTGACTAGGTTCGAATACAAAAAGATTCCAACCTCTAAACACGAAAAGAAGAGGATACAAAGTTACCTACCTATTGTCAATTATTTTTTTCTAAACTTTAGTTTAATTCCAGTAATGGCTTGCCTATGTTCAGTTAACTCAGATCTCAAATTCCTACATTCAACTAACTCAATCCCTAGCTTACCTATGTGTGTATGCATTTATGTATGTATTTGTATGTTCGTGTATTGTGTTGTACAGTTGTTTGTACGTTTGTGTATGTTATACGTACATGTGCGAATGTACAAATACAGATAGGTAGGATTAATTCGTATGTTGAGCTAATGGAACATATGTAGGTAAGTTAATTTAGTGAATATAGTTAAGTTAGGAACACTATTCTTTCATTCTTTCTTTCTAATTTATTTGTATTGTATTGTATAGTTTGGTTTGGTTTTTTGTTCAACACCAACAACAACAGCAGCAATCAAACACGACAATCAACACAACAAGTTCTTCCCGTCTGAGCTACCATGTCAACTAGTGGTATTTTTATGAAGTTTTTTTTTTCTTCTAAACTATTACTCATCGCGAGATCGAAAAAAGTGGTGATGATTAAAAGTGAATTTAATCGTTTAAAAAGCAAAAAATTAAATTAACAAATTAAATTATCAAAAAAAGGTGTCTTAATATAACTGAAATATGTACACCTATATATATATATATATATATATACATATGTATATGTATATGTATATATAAGTATATGTATATATATATATATATATATACAATATATAATTTTCTTTAAATAATAATCTAAACGTTCAAGATTAAAAAATTTAACAAATAAATTAAATTAATTGAAGTCTCTGTTTGTGGAAAAATTGAAACAAGAAGAAAGCTGGTTGGTTGATTGATTGGTTTATTGTTGGTTGATTGGCTAGTTGATTGTTGGTTGATTGTTTGGTTGGTTGATTGGTTTGATGAATAAACAAATTGTGAACTGTGAATTGATTGGTTGGTTGGTTGTTTGGCTGGTTGGTTGGTTGGTTGGTTGATTGATTGATTGATTGATTGATTGGTTTCATGATTGGTTTATTTATTGGTTTCAAAAGTGCACAGAATTACTTGAAAACTGATCGATCAGTTGAATGATTGGCAAACTAAATAAACGAATGATTGAAAAATAAAAATGAATAAATAAAAGAGTGAATGAATGATTTAATGAATGAATGAGTGAATGAAAGAATGAAGTGAATCTAATAATAAAATGCAGGTGCCAATAAAATCACAGTCTAAACGTGTCAGTGAGTTAACGTGTTGAAATAATTATTAAAAATATTAATAACCATCACCGTCATCATCATCATCATCATCATCATCATCATCATCATCATCATCATCATCATCACCACCATCATCATCATCACCATCATCATCCTCATCATCCTCATCATCCTCATTATCATCCTCATCATCATCCTCCTCATCATCATCATCCTCATCATCATCATCCTCCTCATCATCATCATCCTCATCATCATCATCCTCCTCATCATCATCCTCATCATCATCCTCATCATCATCATCATCATCCTCATCATCATCTCCGTACTCATCATCATCATCATCATGGAATTTCGGATGATTTTCTAGATTCTGATGGAAAATAATTTTCAGCCATCCTGGTCGATCGGCGCCTCTGGCGACAAAAAGTAAAAAAAATAAATAATTGAAATAATATTTTAATTTATTTTATTTATTTAAATAAATAATTTTCTCTTTTTTTATACTTATTTCTTTTTATTTTAAATTATCAATTTCTTTTTAGTGATTTCATTTAGGCCCCGCCCTTTTTTTCGATATAAATAATTTGATTGGCCGGTTGAAATTTAAAATTGACATGATTTGATTGACAGGACAATCTGACTTTTAAATGACTCGATGTTATTAGTTGAAATTGTAAAATTAGATTGATTTGATTGACTGGGCAGTTTCAAAGGAAACCTGATTTGATTGGCTGGCAATTTAAAAAACCCGATTTGATTGACCGCAAATTTCAGATAACCTGATTTGATTGGCTGGCAAATTCAAGCGCTCTCAGTTGATCCTCCTTCTTCCGCCTGTTCACTTCCGGAAGAAGATTGTCCAGCCAATACAAATCTCTCTGCGTGAACAAATAGTCCATCAACTTCCGGACAATGACCAATAGGACCAACTGAATGACGAACCGAGGAATGAAAGAGTTTGTAAATTATTAAATGAATAAAAGAACGAATGATCGAATGAATGAATGAATGAAAGAAAGAAAGAACGAATGAATGAATAATTGCATGAACGAACGAACGAACGGATAAATAGATAAATAATTAAATACCACCGTCGTCATCACAATCACCACCACCACCACCATCATCTTCGTCATCACCAACACGACCACTAACTACCACCACTATCACCACAACTTCACCATTAAGGGAAAGGCGATAGATGTCACTTTGAAGCTCTTAACAGCCCACATTAAAGCACTGCAGAGTAGCTGGATGAATGTAAACAAGTGCACATGACTTGTCTGCACATGACGGAGGTATATGTAGTCCGGCTGATACTTCAGGGGCATGAATAGGATGAGGATCCTGTCGATGTACTGTTATGTGATTGGTCGATGGTGAAAGTTAGTGTTATGTGATTGGTCGATGGTGAAAGTTAGTGTTATGTGATTGGTCGATGGCGAAAGTTAGTGTTATGTGATTGGTCGATGGTGAAAGTTAGTGTTATGTGATTGGTCGATGGTGAAAGTTAGTGTTATGTGATTGGTCGATGGCGAAAGTTAGTGTTATATGATTGGTCGATGGTGAAAGTTAGTGTTATGTGATTGGTCGATGGTGAAAGTTAGTGTTATGTGATTGGTCGATGGTGAAAGTTAGTGTTATGTGATTGGTCGATGGTGAAAGTTAGTGTTATGTGATTGGTCGATGGTGAAAGTTAGTGTTATGTGATTGGTCGATGGTGAATGTTAGCGTTATATGATTGGTCGATGGTGAAGGTTAGTGTTATATGATTGGTCGATGTTGAAGGTTAGTGTTATATGATTGGTCGATGTTGAAGGTTAGTGTTATATGATTGGTCGATGGTGAATGTTAGCGTTATATGATTGGTCGATGGTGAAGTTTAGTGTTATATGATTGGTCAAATGAACGAATGAACGGATGAAATAAAGAAATAAAAATTTGCCAAAAACAAAAAACCTCCACGCCATTCAGCGATGTGATACCCATGTACAAAAATACACCGTATAGAATCGGCATTGGAATGTACTGTGATGGATGGGGAAGATGACGACGACGATGATGATGATGACGATGATGATGACGACGATGAAATTATGAAGATAATAAAAATAACAATAATAATAACAACAACAACAATAATAATAATGATAATTAGTTTTAAAGTTATAGTTATTAATATTTTTACCTTCAGAAAGATGGCTCCGAAGATGGAGAGACCGATGAGCAGGTGGATGAATAAACCAGTCACGCGCTGTTCCCTGGTGATGATAACGATCATGAAAATGATGCTGATGATGATGGCAATGATGATGATGATGATTGTAATGGTTAAAAAAAAGCTGATGATAATTATGTTGAGGTTTGTAATGGTGCGAAAAAAATTTTTTGATCATGTCGTCATCATCATCTTTATCATCATCATCATCATTAACAACGACGTAATCATTATCACCACCACTACCATTATCATCATCACCACCACCATCACCAGCGTCATCATCATCGTCACCAACAACAACAACAACATCGTCATCAACAACACCATCATCGTCATTACAACCATTGTCCCCATCATCATCATCATGATCACCACCATCAGCAGAACCATCAAAACCACAAACATCATCACCACCACCAGAACCACAAACATCATCATCATCATCACCACCACCAGAACCACAAAAATCATCATCATCACCATCACCTGATCCCCAGCATTTTGGGGCTCTCGCCGGGGGCATTGACATCTGACTCCCTGACGAGACTTTTGACGTGCGAGATTGATCTGACCGTGGCCGCACAAAACCAGGGCAGGCCGAAAAAGGAGCAGAAGAGGACTTGAAATGATATGATCAGAAGGTCAAGGTGATATCCGTGACCTTTCTGGGGTGACGTCATTTGATTGGTCGATCAATCAATCAATCAATTAACTAATCAATCGATCAATCAATCGATCGATCAATCAATCAACTAATCAATCAATCAATTTATGAAAACGAGCCGACCAATCACAACAAACTTGTAGCTTGTTCTCCTTCCGGTTCACGATGACAGCTGTGATTTGCTGGTCTAAAAATAGCAATATGGTAGCTAAGCAGGCTGGGGCAATGGCGACAAAACACATCCACCAGGGCACGCAATCAAGGGGGTTTATGATCCAACTCCTTATGTAATTCATTTTGATTGGTCGGTCGGTGGAATGGTTGATTTTGATTGGTTGGTTGATTGATTGATTTTGATTGGTCGGTCGGTGGAATGGTTGATTTTGATTGGTTGGTTGATTGATTGATTTTGATTGGTTGGTCGGTTAATTAAAAAATTTGCATATTGGTTGATTGGTTAGTGGCTGATTGATTGATAAATGGAAGAATTAATTGATCGTTTGATTGATTGTTGGCTGAGTAATTTGTCAAATGTAAAGATGATAAATATTTAATTGGTTGAATGATTAAATGATTGATTGATTGAAAGATTGATTGAATGATTGATTGAATGATTTGAACGTACCAAACAGAAAATTTAATTGAATATTAGTTCAATTCTTAAAACCGCTAAATTAAAAATTTAAATATCTAACTAACCGACCAATCAGTCAATTAACCAACCAACCAACCAACCAACTAACCAACCAACCAACCAACCAGCCAACCTACCAACCAACCAACTTGCCAATCAACCAACCTATCGACCCTCGTTGTCTGAAATTTTGTAGGAACATCCAGTTTTGATGTATTCAAGCCCAGGAAATAATCAACAGCCGTCCAGAAAACCAGTGATAGGAAAACCGCGAAATCCGCTATCATGCTACGCAACTTTTTTTTTATAATTCAATTAAATTTTAATTGGTTAATTAACTAATTAACTGACTAGTTTTATAATTAATTAATTCATTAATTAATTCATTCACATGTTTATTCATCTTATTTGTTCATTTGTGTGTTTCTTCGTGAAAAAATATGACTTTCAGATATAAACAATCTGAAGCATTGTACGTAGAACCATTTCCAGGCAAAGACGCAAGGCACATAAATAAACACACTTACACACACACACACACACACACACACACACCTACCTACACAGACACACACAAACACATCTACACACCCCGCACACATCTACACACACATCTACACACACATCTACACACACACACAAAAACACACAAAGACGCAAAGCGTAAACAAACAAACACACACACCTATCTACACACACACCTGCACACACACACCTACACACACGCATGCACGTACACACACACACCGACACAAACTCACAAAAGTTGGAAAGTAGGTCGTTGACCGCATGTTCCTGAAGAAGATGGCCACCGCGAAAGTCCCGAACATCAACACACACGACAGCAAAAACACATCCGGGACCGAATTCGTCACGCTCTGGACGCACCCACTTCCGGTTAACGATCCGTTTAGGGATGTACAGTTTTTTTCCGATATGCACCGACGATTTACTTCGATGGAACCGGACGGCATGTAGCATTCGTCTCGGTAAAATGAGGAGGATAACAATGGCGGTGATGCAGTTCTATTGCTGGTGTTATAAAACGCTGCATGTGACGTCATCAATAAAGAAATAACAAATAATAATGTAAATAATAAAGAATAACAAAGTTTAATAATTATATGAATAATAATAGATAAAGGAAGTCATTTATGGTCTTCAGGCAAAAAACTTTATAGCAATTACAACAGGTTGAACACACAGGCACGAAAATACAAAGATAATAAATCGTCGTATCAAACGAACCGTTTCCGGTTTCGCTGCCGTCACCCGCCAAACCACTCGAATTTATTTTACACTCGCACGAATACCGAAACGGTTCCGATATTACGGACGTTCGGATCCGATTATCCGACCAGACGTCAAAGAGTTTGCTGACGGCTTCGTAGATGAAAATGACTGAAATCAGGACGGCGAAACTCTCCTCTGTGAACCTAGTGATGTACCTGATGATGTAGCTAAGATCGAAGGCCACCATCAGGAACATGATTATGAATATCCAGATCCCGATCCAGAACCGGAAGGGCATGAATGGGATTTTCATGTTCCTGGAGGGAGTATGACGTCATGATGATTTTGATGACGATGATGATGATGGTGATAAAATGTTGATGATGATGATGTGATGAAGAAGGTGATAGTGATGAGGATGATGATGATGAAGATGATGATGATGAAATGTTGATGATGATGATGTGATGAAGAAGGTGATAGTGATGAGGATGATGATGATGAAGATGATGATGATGAAATGTTGATGATGATGATGATGAAATGTTGATGATGATGGTGATGATGATGTGATGAAGATGATGATAATGATGTAATAAAGATGATGATGATGATGATAATGTGATGATGTCACGATGACGTCATGTTGATTCTGACGATGACGAAACAGAAAATTGAGATCCATCGAGTATGACGACGACGAAAAAAGACGGGCACGATGAAGATGATGATGATCAAAAACAGCAAGTCAAACCCGCAAATTTCAAAGACAATGGTTTCAAAGACGAGAAGGGGCCCTGTAGCCCCCACAATCGTCAGGGGCTGCCCTGAAAAGATGGCGTACGTTATCCCACAAAACGCCCCTGAGAGCAGCATCTCAATGGTTCCCTAGGTGGCAGATTTGTAGCATTATTTCTCATCCATTTCATTATTTGAATTTTGCCGTTACACAATTATTATCATCGTCGTCATCATCATCACCATCTTCTTCATCACCATCTTCTTCATCAACATCTTCTTCATCACCATCTTCTTCATCAACATCTTCTCCGGCAATAACATCATCATCACCATCTTCATCACCATCTCCTTACCATATATCCGTCAGTTTTTCCCGCCATGAGGCCCCCAAAGGTGACGATGGGTGTGATGCACGCGAAGTAGAGGAAGATGATGGACGCCAGGCACTGCACGCTTAGCCCGTCCGTAATATCACTCACGTAGAACGCCGACTTCCGCTTTATGTCTTTAGTTAGACCGCCGAATAATCTAGAAGTGAAAATTTTTGATTGGCTGGAGGTGGAAAAATTAAATTTAGGTGATTCTTATGGTTAAGGGGACGATTTGAGTTGCTGATGATGGGATGATGATGAAGATGACGATGATGGCAATGATAACGATGATTGCACCGCCAATACAAACTTATTTGTCTTGGCCAGCGAATCATCAACCTGTGTAACATCGGCTGCCAGGCTTTCAATCTTGGCCGCAGTGCGACCCGTGTCGTGTAACCTTTGACCTATCCTCTCCAAGGTCATGGTCACCGGTGGTGGTTCGAGTCTAGTCGTTGGGTCCCAGACAGACGGCGGCAGGATGGTCAGGTCGTCTAGGAATTCGTCTAGACCGACTTGGAAGTCTTGTTTGCTGGTGGCTTTGTAAGCCACTTCACAGAAAACCTTGTGGTTGTGGTTGTGACGACAACGACGACGATGATGATGATATTGAAAAATTTATGTAAAAAAGAAAAATAAATAAAATTAAGAATAAATAAAAACAAAATTCAGAGAATGTGAAAAAATGATTTAAAAATTTTGTTTTTGGGGTTAAGCGTGATGAAGACGAAAGATAAAATGCAGTAAGAAGAGAGAGTTAACATGGAGAATTAAAAAAATTTCTAGATAGAAAGAACGTTAAAAAGAAGATGATAAATGAGATGATGATGAAGGAGAGAGAGAGAGAGAGAAGATGATGATGATCATCACGACTCCACATGCTAGCAGCGGCAAATGTTTTATTCAAATGTGGCGATCATTTATAATGCATGGCGCTTTAATGTCACCAGTATCATCACCAAGAGTACTACTACTACAACTACTGCTGCTGCTGCTACTACTGCTATTACTTCTACTGCTGCTGCTACCACTACTGTTATTACTACTAGTATTCATTTATTTAAATTTATTCATCTTTTTTTTTCATTATTAGTAAAAAGTAGAAATACTCACCTTATCATTTAATAAGAGGGCCGTAGCCCTTCCCAGTTCACTCATCTGCCAGAGCGTTGATTGGTTGGCAACCCCGAGGGCGACGAATAGGAAGCGAGTAGGCAGGTCTACTTCGGTCGCGTCGTCCATTAGGATTGGCTGCGCAAACCGGAAGAGGAATGTGATTGGTTTGGGACCAAGGTCAGCCACGCCTACAAGAACGTTAGCCGTCTCTGCGTCAGGAGGTAGTTTCTGTTTCAGCTTTTTGTTTGGCTAGTAAAAATGAGATAATGATTGTTATAATAATAATAATAATAACAACAATAATAATAATAATAAGAAGAATGAGGAATATTCCATTAGCCACCTTTATAATTATACAATTAAAACCGTCGCATGTTTCGCTAATTTGATTAAATATTGCACAGCCGCAAGGTCACCTCATATTTCTCAAGGTTATCCGGAGTCACGTGCTTAGGGTAGGCCGTGTAAGTGTTCCAAAGGTCCTTGCCCTCTTTCTTCATAAAGCTTTTCCGCCTCTGGGAGTTCGCTCTCTCGATCTGCTTGCTCTGAATGTAACCTACGTGTCATTATTATTATTTTTATTATTGTTGTTATTGTTATTATTATTATTATAAAGTTTATGTTTCTATGTATGTGTGTGTACTTAAGTGTAAACGGGAACATACATATAAATACACACACATGTACAATTGTACATAAACAATGCAGTACTAATACAACAGAATACCCGAGAGAAGATACCTGAACTCTTTTTATCGGCGTTTCTGTCTTTATGCTTGTGTGGGGCCCTCAAAATTTCGGATAAGTTCATTTTGGAACGGTGCGTCAGAGTGAAGAAGTCACTGACTGTCTCAATTATTTGCTCTGCGTGGTTCGAGGTGTTTCAAGGAGTTATATTTTGAACTGTATGTCTGTTTATCATTTCTGGGCGAGTGGAGGATTGGTTTGATTGGTTTGATTAGTTGGTTGGTTGATTGGTGGGCTGATAAAAATCAAGAGAGAAAGAGAGAAAAAGAGAGAGAGAAAAAGAGAGAGAAAGAGAGAGAGAAAGAGAGAGAGAAAGAGAGAGAGAAAGAGAGAAAAAGAGAGAGAAATAGTTACAAAAATATAAACATAAAAAATAGCAGAATAGAAAAACTGAAAAAAATGAAAAAAGAAATGAAAGAAGAGATATAGATGAAAAGAGAGCGAGAGACAGATAAAACAAGAGAAAAACAGACAAAAAACGAAAACGGAGAGATAGAGTAAAAGAGAGAGGAACCGTGGGAATAGAGAAATATGAGAGGTAGAGTTAAAAATAGGTGTAAAAAATACACTTTGTTTCAGCAATAGGTGAACGATTCGATTGACTGATGGATGGATGGACGGGTGTATAGACGAATGAATGAATGAAAGGATAGTTTGATTGACTGATTGATCAATGTAAGAATGAATGAATGAATGAATGAAATTTAAGATTTATGATATGGTTTTCTATTTTGAAAGGTCGCACCTTTTAAAATGCAAACATCATACACACATCCATCACATGCATACAAACAAACATAGGGACAGACATACATACATACATACATACATACATACATACACACACACATAACATACATACATACATACATACATACATACATACATACATACATACATACATACATACATACATACATACATACATACATACATACATACATACATACATACATACATTCATACATACATACATACATACATACATACATACATACATACATACTTACATACATACATACATACATACATACATACATACATACATACATACATACATACATACATACATACATACATACATACATACTTACATACATACATACATACATACATACATACACACATACATACACACACACACACATAACATACGTACGTACATACATACATACATACATACATACATACAAACAAACATACATACAAACATAAGTATAGTTTTAAACCTGTCAATAATAAGACAGTTAAACAAATATTGTTTGAAATGATTGATTGACGGAGTAATGGACGAAACGATGAACTGTGAATGAATGAACAAATAAATGAATGAATAAATATACAAATAAATAAATAAACGAACGATTGAATGAATGAATGAATGAATGAATGATTAAGTACATTAAGATTTGAACGAATGTATGAACGAACGAACGTAGAAACGATTGGGAAAACGAATAAACGAAAAAATAAACAAACGAACGAACGAACGAACAAATAAATGAATTATAAAACGAAAGAACCATTGAATGAACAGAAAAATGAATTTTTTTCAAAGTTTTTTCCAAAAAATATATGAAAGACAACTGGATGGATGGATGGATGGATGGATGAATGATTGGACGGATGGAATAATATACTCATTAATATTTTTGATGGCCAAAGTGTAAAAATATTACCAGAAACCCATTTTAATTGTATTTATTACGTGACACAACTAATCAGTAATTGAATGTTTGCTAGGGTGAACGTTTAAATACGTATGGATATACTCGTATGTGTAACTCTCTCTCTCTCTCTCTCTCTCTCTCTCTGTGTGTGTCTTAGTATGTGTGTGTGTGTGTTTGTGTGTGTGTGTGCGAGAATACAAAAAACAACCTCATCTGCAATGTTATATCTTTGCACAAATTTAAAAAGATCTTGAAGTCATTCATAGAAGAATCTAATTTGTGTTAATGTTTTTAAAATTATCATTGGCTCTATATTTATATATTAAAATGCTGAATTAATAGAATTTTTGTGTCAGAGTTTCACACGATTCGTTCTGTTTAAAATTACATTTAGATTAACTCTTTTGAAAGGTGCGGTTTAGCTCAAGTATCCTAGCAATTACTAATATTGTTACTATTATTAATAACTAATAACAATTTCTTTCCATTTATTTGGGATTGTTGTTGAATAGAAGATCATTTCATTCACTTCACTTCGTTTACCTTAAAATGTATATATCACACAATGCGTGTGTCTGTGTTAATGTACCTACCTACCATGTTAGCATCTTAGGCCCTCTCTGTATTGTTATCTTGTTGTTATCTAAGCATGGGAACACAGATTGGTAAGACTTAATTTTCAGGATTGTGAATTTTAGGGAACAGGGAATCGCAGTTCGGGAATGACGGGTGGATATGGAAAAAATGGGATAAAAGATATCTTCTAGGGAAGAGGGAATAGCTGGAAACGGAAAGGAGTGGGAGGAAAAACGCGGGAATGAATTAAAAAAAATAAGGAATGGAAATTTTTGGGAACGTTGTCAAAAATGGGAATTCGGGAGAAAATCTGGAATGAGAAAAAACTGGGAGTGAATTGGGAACAAATTTCAATTCCCGCTCACCTCTAATGTGTACGTGAGTATATGTCCATGTAAGTGTGTTTGTGTGTGTATGTGTTTCTGTGTGTGTGTGTGTATATATATGTGTGTGTGTGTGTGTGTACGTGACTGTGTGTGCGTGCTACCTTTAGATATTAGCGCCGGAAGTTGACGCCATTTTTAACAATTGCCATTCAATTAAGTTTTTCCTGTTCTAACTGAATCCTGAATTAAGGTGCTTGTTCAGATGATAATGATTATGTCATCGTCATCACCATCATCATTACCATCTTCATCAAAATCATCATCAATACTGCCATTACTATCCTCATCATTATCATCGTAATCATCATCTTCGTCTTCGTCATCATAATAAAGGTATATTATTTTACATGATAAGATGCTACTATGGCCGTGATGATCGTGTGTATGACATTTTCTGACACTTTAAACTGTTTTTCGTCAACTGTTGTTATGTCATAATTTCTCTCTATCTCCTCTCACTCTCTGTTTCTCTCTCTCTCAAATTTAATGTTTTTGTACTTGAAATTTTTTTGTTAAAAAATAAAATTAATTTTTCTCACAATACTCACTCCATCTTTCTACATACCAACATCCAATAAAATTTATTTATTTCCTTTCCGTTTTACATTTTCCTAATTAATTTTTTATAACGGTATACAAATTCATTAATTCATTTGTTTATTCATTCATTCGTTCATTCATTCACTCATAACTTCATAAATTCATTTATTCGTTCGTTCGTTCGTTCGTTCGTTCGTTCGTTCGTTCGTTCGTAGATTAATGAACGAACAAACAAACGAATGATTATGTCGATTTTGAAGAAGCTGAAAGAAAAACCAAAAAAGGTGTTTTTGACATTGACGACAACAAAGACGACGACGATGCTGCTGCTACTACTGCTACTACTGCTGCTTCTGCTGCTGCTACTTCTTCCGTTGCTGATGACGTTAAGAAAATAATGGTGATGATGATGGTGATGATGATGGTGGTGGTGGCACGGATGATGATGATTGCTTTTATTTTTCTCGGTTCTTTGATGATGGAAGGTATTGATGAAATGAAACACCTGCAAACTTATGTGAAGTGTACAAATAAAACATACAAACATGCATACAAACCTGCTAGCAAACATACAAACATATATAGAGACAAACAAAAAAAAACAAACAAACATAAATACACACACTTGCATGCACGTGCATTCATACATTTATACATACACACCCAAACAAAAAATCACAAACATACACACACACAAACATAAACACACATTCACCCACATAAACACAAACACACAAATTTCACAAAATTTTTACAAATAATCGGCTTTGTCAGTAATTTTGCAAATAAAAAAAAACAAAGAAAAACATAAACAAGTGAACTAAAGAATAAATTAATTAATTCATGAATGAATGAACGAATGAATGAATAGATGAATGAACGATTGAATGAACGAACGAACGAATGAATGAACGAATGAATAAACGAATAAATAAATGAACTAATCAACTAATTAACCAAAACACTTCCACACCAAAGCAAACTACCTCTGACGTCATCCCAAACCATTGGATCAGCGATGAAATCCAACGTGAAGAGTATTCTATCGGTATCCAGAAGGTGCTTAAGCTGATGGAGAGCCCTGAGGGACACGGTACCCACGTGAGGCTTGGACCACCGACCACTGGCGTCCACTTTCTCTTCGTATTTCAACCATCTTTTTTGGGATATGGTTGGATAATGAATGCATGGATGAACGGATGAATAAAATATTCGAATGAGTGAATTGATAGATTGATAGAAAAGTGAATAAATGAATGAATGAATGGACACGCGAATGAATGATTGAATGAATGATTGAATGAATGAATGAATGAATGAACGAAGG